AACGCCGTCGACGCTGAAGGCCCAAAATTTCAATTTTTTATTTTTTTCAAATTTTCAATTTCCTTTCAATTTACTCCAAAGTTTTTTAATTTTAACCAAAGTTTTTTAATATTTTTAAACACAAATTTTTATCTAACAATAATTCATAAACAAATATTTCACAAATAATCATTTTCACAAACAACAACAAACTAACTTTTATATATAAAAAAACACTTTTTAAGAATACATTTTTTCTAATCACACATTCACACATATTAAGCAAACTAAATATAAATCAACGCCAAAATCAAGCCACAACACTAAACACTGACACAAAACTATACACATAATCAAAGTTCAGAACTCTAAAGTAAACCAAACTAAATCAAATCCACACAATCACATTAAATACATAAGTATTTTAAACTGGTAGAGAGTCCAAATTCTTCAATTATTCTGCCTTATCTTTAGTGCTTTCTCCTCATCTAATATCTTCCATAGACTGGTAATGAACGTACAGATTGTACAAGGGTCGGTAAGGGAACTGATCAGTCAAATTTTCTTCGATCCATCCTTTTTCCTTGAACATCTGCACTAATCCTAACATCCCATCCTTTTTCCTTGAACATCTGCACTAATCCTGCTTCAATTGTTCCAGTATGATCAAAATTCTCCTTCATCTTCCAATCAAGGTGATCAAAAAGGTATTTAAGATCTTCCACTACATTCATAATACTTTGAAGTTCTCTTTCAATTTTCTTCTTTTCTTCAATTTCTTCAATTTTCTTCAATTTCTTTTCCAAAGAAAGTGAACTTTCAACTGTTGGTGGCATCAATGGAGTTGAAGCATGAGATGAATGATCTATGATAGCAACTAATGTTTCATTTCCATTCCCAGCAGAATTATTATCAATAGGAATCATGGGCTCCCAAGGCAATAAAGGTTTTTCCCAACTTTCATATGGAACTTGTGATTGACTGCAAAGCAGGAAAATTGTGGAAGGATGCTAAGTCTATAAATTGGCCCATTCATAATAATACCCATAACAGATTTAAATATAAGAGATCCTATATCAATGGGTTTTTCCATTTGAATGCAATAATTCAAAATAACACTTTCTTTGGTGACTCTACTAATCTTCATGGTAGGAAGTTATTTTGCAGAAATGAAGAAATGCCACTACTTTGAAATTGGATTAAGTGAGAAAGCAAAGAAACTAAAATATCCATCATCTCGTATTTCCCACATATCACTTTCATCCATCAGAAAATAATCGACATCTTGCATCAAATCTCTTGTTGTGATAAAATTTGTATAATGACAAATTGAAACGTTTTCTATCATATACAATTCATTAATTCTCGCAGGACTAATTGGTACAACCTTACCTTGTATGAAGATAACTCCTTGGTTAATTCCATGTAAATTTGCATAAAACTCCTTCACCACTGGTACAACAACTGCAGCGGTAGTGTAGCACAGAACTTCCCATCGTCTTTGTAAAATCATTTTATCAATTGGAGAACTTGGATTAATCAATCCATGATTGATAAAACCTCTCTCCTTGATCAATCTCTTCTTCGTAATAACTTTGTCGTATAATCTCTGCGCGTCAAAACTAATAAACTTTTTTCTATTGAAAACTTCATACCTTGAAGTATTTCTAAAATTGGAAGCCATGGAATTCGAAAATAAGAAGTTTCTAGTCGTCTATAGCAGTTTTTAGGACTTTAAAAACACCTCTCAACAATTATTACGGAGCGAAATCCCGTTAAAGTCTGCCAAAATTCATCCTGCCGTCAAACTGCTCTCAACACTTTCGGTGCTCCCGATGGTGTTGTCATCATTATGGTCCGTTTACGCGAGTGTTGTCGGCGCCCATTTTGGCGCCGTCGGAGCTAGTGACCAAAAATTGCGACATTTATTTTTTTGTTCAATTTGATTCTAAAATTTCCTCCAATACTAATATTTGACTTAATTTATAATATGTTAAATTATGTAGGATTATTATATACTAATATATGAAACACTTAAGGCCAAAATCCCTTATATAAATCTGAGGCCTACACATTAGCGTCGTCGGAGCCAGTGTTTATTTAATGATTGTGCTGCTCTCTTTCAAACGACGCCGTCGGTGTTGCTTCTGGCGTCGTCGGTGTTGAGTAAAATTCACCATCTGTTCTGTTGGTTTGTGCCGTCGACGCTGCTCTTGACGCCGTTGGCGCTGAGTATTTCTCAAAAATGTCATTTTGACTCCAAATTCCATCCTTTTGCTTCCTTTTTCTTCAAGTCCTAAAAATCAACAACCTGCAAGAAAACATAAAAAATATCTTCCATTAAAGTGCAATATCACAAAAAATGAGTATAAAATATGGGTCTAAAAATGCATATATTTTTGGTGTATCAAAACCCCATAATTAATTTAAACCCTTTCCAGTCATTAGATTATATAAGGGAAGCGACCTATCAGATTTATTTGGTGCCCAGTGTTGATATCCAACACTTTTTGTGTTCAAATAATCAAATCCATCATAACACCTTCGGTTATGCGCTTGATTTTTCAAACAACCATGAATCTTAGAATCTGAACGATGTTCAAAAACCCCATGTCGAGGAGAACAACATGGAACATACAGTGAAATAGAAAACACAACCCCCTCCCGATGGGGTGAACATCAGACTCTTAAACTGCATACTATTTGCTATGTGCACTTGCGTTATGCGGGCTGACATACTTCGCGGTATGCTTTAGCATTTCATCTATTAACAAACATCAATTTCTTATGCCTATAATCACATTTATTCACCAATTATAATAGTTTAATCAACCAATTTTGATCAATTTTATAACTTATTAGACTTCTTTAACATCGTGATGCTCGGAGTATTTCTAAATTTTTAATTAAAAATTTTTTTAAAAGATATGAAATGTCGAGAGTAATTATTACTGATGGAGGGTCTCATATTAGGAATAAGGGAATTGAAAAGTTGATTAGGAAATATGATATTATGCATAGATTCTCTATTGCTTATCATCCTCAGACTAGTAGTCTAATAGAGATATCAAATCATGAAATTAAATAAATTCTAGAAAAAACTGTAAGTCCTTATAAATTGGATTGGTCTGCTAGATTAGATGCTGCATTATGGGCATACAGATCTGCTTATAATACTCCTATAGGAATGTCCCCACAGACTTTTTTTTTTTGAAAAAACATGCCACTTATTAGTAGAATTAAAGCATAAAGCATTTTGGGTAATTAAGGAGTTTAATTTTAATCTAAAAGATGTTGGTGAGAAAGGTGAGAAAAGATTATTAAACTAAATGAACTTGAGAAGATTAGAAATGAAGCATATGATAATGCAAAAATCTATAAAGAGAAAATGAAAATATGATATAGTCGGAAGATTATTAAGAAGAAGTTTGAACCTGGACAGAAAGTTCTATTATATAATACAAGATTGAGATTATTTCCAGGAAAACTTAAATCCAGATGGCTAGGATCATTTAAAGTGATTAAAGTCTATCATTATGAAACCGTTGTTATTAAAGATCCTAACAATGGAAAACCATTTAAAGTTAATGGACATCACTTGAAACATTACTATGAAGGACACATACCTCAATTTAAAGAAGTTTTAATGTTAAGTCAACCCAACTAAACAAATGGTATGTAGGGCTGATGACGTTAAACCAAGCATTTTGTGGGAGGCAACCCATATATGCTAGTAATTACATCTTAGACAAAAGTGCACTTATTAATGAGCATGACTTCATTTGTTGAATTAATTTTTTGTAATTGATCATAATGCTTCATATATTACATGATTTTATCAACTTACAACTTATCTTAACATTGGTCATCACCTTCATTCATTAAGTGTTGTATATTAACTAGCATCCTTATTGTATGCCTATAATCACATTTATTCACCAACTAAAATACATTAATGAACCTTCTTTTGATTAAGTTTATAACTTCTGAGGCTAGTGACTAGCTCTTAGAGAAAGCATGAACTTATTGATGTTGCTTGAATTTTTTTTGTTGATTTAACTTTTTGTAACTTGTCCAACTGCTTCCTAAACTGCATCACTTTATCAACTTACAACTTAATTTTAATAGTGACCATCACTATCATTCAGTAAGTGATGTCTATAAACCAACTTTCTTATCTTTTGCATTTAAATACAATTATTCAACAAGTTACATTGATCAATCTTTTTTTTAATTAATTTCATAACTGAGGCTAAATGTTAGTTTTCACCCTTTGTTAGTATCTTGGCTAATGCTACCCATCCTTCATGAGGTAGCCACTTCTTATCTCACCTCAATTGACAAAGAATTTTTATATTATAAATTTCTAGTAGAGCCAACTCTTAAATTTCCAAGGAATTACACATGATTTTTGTTCTATTTAGTTAATTTGTTATGATTTTATTCTCTTTATATTCTTCACATAAAAATATCACAATCTTCAACATTTATTCAACTTTATTCATTTTTTATCTTTGTGTTAATTATCATAGAAGTTATAAAGTAACTCTTGATTTTTGTCATTATAAATAAGCTCAAATTGAAACTTGTTAGCCACTTAGAGCAAGTTCAACGTAATTTGGCTTGGCTATTGAAACACTTGATTGAAATCCATTTTGAATCGTGAGATAATCTACGGCCGCTCGAGATGTTATGCCGTCCTGTAGGAGGCTTTGAGATGCAAAAGCTCAGGGTGAAAGAAAAAAAAAAATTATTTATAAAGTCGGCCTGTACTCCATTAAAAATAATGTTGTATAGTATTTTATACATATTTTATAAGAATCTATAATACCACTATAAATGAATAGAGATTCATTACATAATATGCGCCTCCTAATGTCTACTTATGTTGCGGAAAAATGCCGAGCTCCAACACACTAGAGCCACGTGTATTAAGCGCCACTTGTTTTCATTTGATTGGACAACTGACGTTTTAAACCCCCTGATTTATATAAACCATTTTTATGCTGAAGAAATTGACTCCCAAAACTGCTTTCCTTCTTCCAACTCTCGCGTTTCTTCTACAATTCTCTCGCTCTCTTCAACACCGGAGAACGAGAAGACAATTAAAAACATAACTTGAATCCCCTCTGTAAACTGCGCTTGGAGCTTATGTTCGGATTTTTCTTCCATCCTTTGATATACTGCCTCTAAACAGTAGTACTCTAGGCACGATTTACACGATGCTGCTGGCTCATAGGGCGTTAGACCTCCGCTCGAAGATGAGATCCGGAGCCGCGGCCTCGTTTCTTCTTGCTATATTCGTATTCGTCTCTTTATCGTCGATGCCGGTGGAATCTGCGGTTGCGAGCATAGATCTAGGCTCCGAATGGATGAAAGTGGCGGTGGTGAACTTGAAGCCCGGCCAAAGTCCGATCTCCATCGTCATCAATGAGATGTCCAAACGCAAATCACCAGCGCTTGTTGGCTTCAATGCCGGTAATCGGTTGGTCGGTGAGGAAGCCGCGGGTATCGCCGCACGGTATCCCAACAAAGTATACTCTCAGTTTAGGGACATGATTGGGAAACCCTATAAGTACGTGAAGGACATTATTGATTCATTGTATCTACCTTTTGATCTGGTGGAGGACTCCAGAGGAGCGGCTGGATTCAAAACGGATGATGGGGTTGTGTACTCGGCGGAAGAGTTGCTGGCGATGATCCTTCGATACGGAATGGGCTTGGCGGAATCGCACACGAGGTCGCCGATCAAGGATGCTGTGATCTCCGTTCCACCTTATTTTGGACAGGCAGAGCGTAGGGGGGTGCTTCAGGCAGCGCAGCTTGCTGGAATCAACGTGCTTTCTCTTATTAATGAGCATTCTGGTGCTGCCTTGCAGTATGGCATTGACAAGGACTTTTCGAACAATTCTGGGCATGTCATATTCTATGATATGGGCTCCAGAAATACCTATGCAGCTCTAGTTTACTTTTCAGCGTATAACACGAAGGAGTTTGGAAAGACTGTATTTGTCAATCAGTTTCAGGTAAGTCCTTTTTTTCCTTTTAATTTTTTATCAGACATATGTATATATATATTTTAAAAAGTCTATATGCAAACACCATGCTGTTTTGCTATCGTCTAGAATTGGAAACATAGCAATAGCTAACGCATAGAAAATTGATTCATTTTATGCAACCATATTGCTTAGAAATGCTTTCGTACGGATAGCTTCTCGTTATGTTTTTGAAGTGATTCTACACTTTTTTCAATACATATTTAGCATCTCGTTATGTTTTTGAAGTGGTTCTGCATCTGACTTTTTTTAATATATATATATATCCTGGCTAGTTATTTGTCGGTTGAAATGGTGGGTAACTTCTCCAGAAATACCCTTTTTGCTGTAAAAAATCTGGATGGGCTTATAGCTTAAAATGATTTCATGACATGTATAGATTATGATATGGAAATAGGAGATTTTGTAAAACCATGCCAACGAGAGTAATAAATAGGTTTTAAGGGAAGGGATAAATCGATGAAAAATTAGATTACGACAAGAAAAAAAGGATCTCAACTATGTTAGGTGCATCGAAGAAGCTTCATATTCACGAATAGCTTTTTTTAGTTTGAACTTGTTTAGTTTTGCTTGTAAATTAAGTAAATAAGCTATGCTCAACAATTTCAGCTTGTGAGCTATACAGTTTGCTTGATTATGTTTGGTTCAGTTAAAACTCGATTTATAAAATTATTAATATATAAATGAAAGAAATGTACACACACACACACACACGAGCACACTAGGACACACATTTATATAAGTTATAAAAATCTATATATATATATATAAATTTTTTTTGTAATCATTGTACTTTTTAATCAATTCTAAAAAATACTGTGAGTAAAATAATAATCTTTATTATATCAAAAGACTTGTAGATAAATTTGGAAGATCATGTTTTTCATAATTAGATATGTATAATTAGGGTGTAATACATGTTTACGATATTCCAAGAGATGTAAAAGACTTGTCCTAGTGCTCTCCAAAAAGTCTCTGAACCCTGTGAAGCATTATAGAAAATGCAAAATCAATTCAGATGTGTTACATGGTATCCTATAATATCCAAGTGTCTCAATGCATGGCACACTATCTTTTGTAACATGTTGACCTGCTTGAAGAAGTTAGTGCTTCATAGTTCTTAGAAAAGGAAGGTAGATTGGTGGCAGCATTTTTCATTGCTCCATTTATTATAATCCAAATATGACCTGAAGTTTTATGTGCAATATAGTTTGCTCTAGTGTTCTATGGAAAAAAACTTACTGAGGGTGGGTGGGGATGAAATGTTCAACTTGAAAACTTATTAAATTATTGTTTAGAATGAGTTTAATATGATGTGGCAGAGTTTTAGCTTTTTATGTTGTAAAGTTTATTATTGTTAGTTAAATATCTAATCTTGTCATTCTACTTTTGTCTATATGAATCTGGCAAAATAAAATCTTCTGACATCTTTGTTTGTCATGCCTACTTCAAATCTTCAGTACAGAAGTAACATCTATGTGTTATTTGAAAATTGGGATGAAGTTAATCTGCTAGTTATTTTTTTTTTGTTATTTTATGTCATTGATTTTCTAATCTGTTATTTGTACAGCCATCCATATTTTGACTTGTTTTGTGGTGTGATTTTCTTTCTTAGAATGTCATAATCATGTATCATCGTTTGCTTGTCTTAACTCGTTAGCCACTCCAAGAAAAACACCGAACCTTCATGTTATGTGCTTAATTGGGGGAATTCCATTGTCCCCCTTTGCTCTCCTGCTTTATTTAGTATATCTTGGATTTGTTCACTCACTTAATGTTTGTGCTTTTGTTCATTGACAGATCAAAGATGTGAGTTGGAAAACAAATCTTGGAGGTCAAAATATGGAATTACGGCTTGTGGAACATTTTGCTGATGAATTTAACAAGGAACTTGGGAATGGAGCTGATGTGAGAAATTCCCCAAAGGCGATGGCTAAATTGAAGAAACAAGTTAAGCGTACAAAGGAAATCCTAAGCACAAACACCGTGGCTCCTTTATCAGTTGAATCACTTTATGATGAACAGGACTTCAGGTAAGAAATGTTTATCAAACTAAACTTTAAATCCTGAAATTATTTACCCCCTTTAACATAAAGTTCAGATTTAATTTTCTCATTTTTGATTTAAGGTTATAAGCTAACTTTGAGGACATTTGCCCTTGACTATATAAATATTAATTTTATCCTATCATAGTTTTTAATATGTGCTTATATTCTGTTATTTTTCATTTAGTCTAGGCATTCTCATGTTGTCATGGCATGTGATTCTGATCCAGGTTAATCATGGACTGGATATTATGATGCTTTATATGATTATGTTACCATATGTTAGTTTTCATGCTTTATGCTTTATTTGCATTTCAATGTAATCTGGAGACCTCTCTTCTATAAATAAAAGAAGGTAGGATGGAATGGAATAGATGATTCTAATGATTAATAAAAGGAAAATTTTTGTTCTGTGAACTCTCTTTCTTCTCTTTCTACTCTCCTACAGCTGGCTTAGCCAAGTTTCTTTTCTAATCCTCCCCTCCTTTCATCCCTAGCCACTAGCCAGCTCTTCTTTCCCTCTTCTACAGAATATCCCTCTGATCTTCCATGGTTTACTATTGAGCTCCATAGAAGTTTTAAGCTTTTGAAGAATAAGATTTAGATTTAATCAATCATCACGGGATCAAGCTTAAAAAAAACTAAGTGGTATTACAGTGTGGGTCCTCAAGGATTTAAGATCCTTTAAGTTTTTGCTAAGAGATACCAAGCCTCTTCCGTTTGCTCAAGTCCTTTTTATTGTTCAAATTCAGTTCATTACTCCGTTGTGTGTAGAATAACTGCTGTATGTGATTGTGTACCTACATATTGTGCTTTCTCGTGTAGCTAAAATCTGCTGTGTACCTACATATTTGCTTCTTGTTGAGTCAGTGCATATATTCTAGGTTGTGCACCTTGCCGGGTACGAATCAGAGCTGAAACTAATTCTGATGACTAGCTGGCCTATGTCTGCCTAAAGTCCTATGAGTAGATTGAGCACTAACTCTGGCCTCAACTTAGGATCTTTGTTTTATATTAGATGCAAATTACAGCTATTAGAAGGTGTGAACAATTTAGATATCTCGGGTCTGTTGTTCAAAGCGATGGTGATATAGATGGGGATGTTAATAATAAAATTCAAGTTGGTTGGTTGAAGTGGAGGAATGCTTCGGGCCTTTTGTGTGATAAAAATGTATCACTTAGACTGAAAGGAAAATTTTATAAGACGGTGGTCAGACCTGCAATGCTCTATGGCGCTGAATGTTGGCCTTTAAAAGAGAAGCATAATGCTAAGTTAAGTGTTGCCGAGATGAGAATGATTAGATGGATGAGTGACTTTACACTTAGGGACAAGTGCGAAATGAATATATCCGTGATAGGGTTGGTGTAGCTCCTGTGACGGAAAAAATTAGAGGAAGTCTTCTTAGATGGTTTGGTCACATTAAGCGTCGACCATCTTATGATCCGATTAGAAGAGTAGATGCTTTAGATTCGACTTATGTTAAGAAAGGCACTTAGGAAGTCTTGGGCTTATTGTATAAAAAAATTATCTTAATTTATACTTGAATTTGGCATGAATTTTTATGTAACTGTTGTTCTTACATACCTGCTTTATTTTTATTCATTACTGTTTGATGATGTGTCCTATTATTTTTCTCTCTCACAGAAGTACCATAAGTCGTGAGAAATTTGAAGAAATTTGTGAGGATTTATGGGAACAATCTCTATTACCTGTTGAAGAAATTTTGAAGCACTCTAATTTAACGGTTGATGATGTTTTGGCTATAGAGCTTATAGGTGGAGCTACTCGAGTGCCAAAATTACAGGTTAGTCTGATTTCCTTTGAGATGCTTGCATAATCACATGTTACCAAAACATTGTTTATAGCTAATTTTCTGCCATGATTAAACACTTTGTTTATGTAAATTCATCTGGATATAACACCTGCAAAAGAATTGAAAACTCACGCGTTCTCTTCTTTTGAACCATTCTTTTTTTTTTAAGAAATAAGTGGAGTGGAGAATTGATTCATTAAGTGGTTGTTTGGTCGGCTGAATTAGGGGTGTGGCATTCCAAATTCATGAATTTAGAAAAACCATTTGTTTGGAAGAAATTCAAATCCATTGTAAAATAGTATAGTATTTGAAATTCAGCCCTTTGTTTACTTTCCCTAAATTTGGAATTCGGCCGATTTGGTCGAATTTAAAACACTCTGCTTTAATGTAAAGCGCTGCTGGCGGCCATTGTTGGCTGCTCGCTGCCGCCCTGCCTTGGGGCGCAGCCCCCTGCCCAATCTTAATTAAGGATATAAATTTATGACTGCTCGGAACGAACATTGGCGATGATCCTAGCTGTCCATTGGGGTGTGATGAGGTTGAGGATTACACACATTACCTCAAAGTGCAAAGTTCTAGGGGGAAGTTATTTGCTATTTAGCTAATTGAGGGATATAATTACCAACCGTTAACACTTTGCATGAGACTATATCTTAACTACGGAAGCTACCCCTTGCTAGAATGGCTATGGGGAGTTTGTACTGCTATGTTATTTATCAATGTTGGCATGCCTGGAACGCTAGAAAACAAAACCAGCCATTTGGAACTATAGTTATAATTGCAGCCACCACTCTACCAACTATTACTCAAGCTAAAATTTTCTTCATCTATAAGGAATGGGGTAACCCTCGATCCCTTGGGCTGTCTCTTTCTTACATTTGGTACGCATCAACCTTGCTAGTGTGGGGATTGTTAGTCGGGACGAAGCAGGTATAATTCTAGTTTTTTTTTCTACACGTTCAGAATGGATAATCATCATAAGAAAATTGTTAAATAAGAGGATGGAGCTCAATTTTCATATTCATTTTTTGAAGCCATCACACAAGGGAATAAGCAAGGAAAAGCTATTATTTCTTTCGCTTTATGGTTTGCCTTAGGTTAATAAAGGATAAAAAATTGAGTCTAATATCTCCCTTCAAAACCTATTCTCGTGGTTATAGATGAGAAAGTATACAATCTATAATAATTTTTCTTGGAAGAACTAACACGGATGATAAAACTATAAAATAATTTATCACTATTATTAAATAATGAAAATTTTAAGGTAATACACTTCAAGTTATCTTCAATTATCTATTTAAAATTTAAAATAAAATCGATCAAATTAGCAGAAAAACCTATTCCATAGATAAACAAACCCAGCAAATTAAACTTAATTCCTACAACACAGAAATTGTTGATTTCCTTGTACCAAAATTTTTAGTTCTTATAAAACTTGCTTTATAGCCAAATCCTTCATTTCAAAACATGTTTGGGCCAACTTAGCAAGATTTTGATTAACTGATGTATAAAATGTTAAATCTTCTCATTACTTCTCTTGATGTAATCTATCTCAGTCCTAAAAAAATTTTGAGAATGAATTTTCTCCTTTTGAATCTTTACTTGAATAAATTCAAAATGCTTGTGTGATATTTAAGGTTTAACTTACTTTATTAAAAATTAATAAAATAAAATATCCTAGAAAACCACTAGGACTTTACTACTATAGAAAATCTATGCCTTTTATGTTTTTCAAGAAGAGGAACCGTCCAAATATCAACATCAATACGATAGGATATTAATTTATACAATAGTTGCCCAATCTAGACAAAATACAACCCCTAAAATAACAAGAATGATTATCTGTGGATTCTCTGAAAGCTTAAACAATGTTGGGATAACTTCATAACAGAAGAGTAAAAACATTATCTTCTAAGTGAAATTAAAATAGAAGATAACCCATTGAGTTGAACAACATTTTATAGGAACTCATGCAGATAGAGGATAATAATAATTATGGAAACTCATGCAGATAGAGGATAAAAATAAATTCGGTCCCTACTTTAAAAGCTTAGATGTCCTTCACTAACTCACTTCGCGGGAATAAGGATGTCTTTCTCATTAAGAACCTCCCTGAAAAAAATAACAATTATTTGAGGTAAAAATTTATTCAAGTTCTTCCTAATCTTTGTGTTGAAAGTGTTAAAAGTTTCTTAAAAATGCTAGAACTCATAATATTATTTCTGTGTACGTTACATAGGGTAAGATCATTAACACATATCCAAACAGGATTAGAACTCTGTTATGATATAACATTATTTCATCAATTAAATTAAAAATGAGTCTTAGAGAAAAAAAAAATGAGCAATTAGTAAATAGTTTGACCGTGACGAATCATCCTTGATGGGACAATAAATTATCTAAATAAGAAAGACAACTAAGTGAAAAACATTCTTATAAAATACATCATGTGAAATATGATGAAAATTACCCATTCACCTATAAGTTTATCAAAAGAAAAAAAGACATGATAAATATATTAAATGCTTTAAGTGTGATAGGCATGATCATTACTACCATAAATATTATATTTGTAAAAAAATTAGTCAATTTTGTGCAAATGAATGATTAAAGCAAACCCTATTGAAAGTCTTATTAATTACCTCTAAATCAGATGTTGAAAAATATACTTCCACTTCTGATCTTTCAAAATCAAAATCTCAATGTTATTGCAAATATTTTAAAGGCAAACTATTGTTGATCTATAATTCAAATGTCAGGGCTATTTATCCTTAGTGATGAACAAATAGGATTAGTTAATTTAAATTTTATCTATTATTTTTTTACTTTAAAACTCGAGATACAATCCTTGATCAATTCCATGAAAGAAAGCCAAAGTCACCCATTGATGGCTTCCCCATATACAATATGAAGTATATAACCGTATGACTGAAAAATAATCTCATCAATCTCATCTCAACCCATTTTATTTTATCTCAAAACTAAAATTATTCATCTTAAAGAAATAAAATTTGCGTGAAAAGTATCTCAAAATGAAATGAATAGAAGGATCATTAATCTTGAGTAAAATAGAGATAATTTTAGTAAAAAATTCTTACCACTAGATAATCTCTGAGAAATGAAAATTTCTTTCAAGGTAATGAACTACTAAATTCTCTCTAGAAAGTGATAATGCAAAAAAGAGTTATAGTGATTCAATTAATTATTAATGAAGTGTACATAGTTCTTAATGTTACTATTCTTGTTGATATTGGGGGGCATATATAAACTGTATTCAAGGAGTGATTCAATCTAAATATTTTGAAAAAAAACACTCACTGAGACTTTTACCTCTGCTAGTGATAATTATATGGAAATTGATAATTATGGAAATCTGAGAGGATTTAGTTCTTTTCGTATAAGCCTCTCTCAAGCGGGATATCTTAGGATAACGTTTTATGTATTTTATGCTCTTCATAATTTATGTTTTCTATTTTTTGTTCAAAATTATTTCCTTTCCTAATTTAGATGAGACATGTTTGGTATGTTTTTAAATAAGGGAAGGATTGACTTCTCTTTATATATGTACACTGTTTGTGAATAATGAATAGAACAATTTTTCCTCCCAATTCATTTCTACATAGTATCAGAGACAGAATTCTTCTCTATCACTTAGAACTTTTCCTAGCACAGACACCTTTCCCACTCTCGGCTCTCTTTGTGCCAGAGCCGCCGCTCCTTGCTAGTGTAGAAAACATTGTACTGTGGCTAAAACTTCTCGTCGTAGGCTCTTCTTTTGGTGGAACTTCTTCCAGACGTAGGCAACAACAAGTGGCTTGGGAATTTTGGATCCAGTGGAGATGACTTTCTCTCTCTTGTAAACCATTCTCTCTTTGGTGGAAATCACTTCCTCTCTCCAACGAGAATTGCATCATCTGTCATCATTATCCTTAGTTCTTTATCATTTTTCTAGAACACTTCCACGTATTTCCTCCAAGAACGCAGGAAAAACGGGATTGGCGGAACAACAACTGGTGCAACAAGCCAAATAAGCAGCATAATGAGAAGCAGACAATAGCGGCAGACAACAACTCTCTCCGCCGCAATTAACTGCGAACAACCAACCTAAAATTTTTTTGCTGCTGGCTCCTCTAACAGAATCCTACCGCTAGCAGCAGCAACTTTGGACTTTCTCTGCCACAAGCTTGCCTCCACCTGTTTCTCCTTTCAACAGGTCCTTCGTCAGAGTTTTCTTGTTTTTTTTTATTGCAATAGACCTCTTGTGGAGATTTTTCTTGCAGCCATCAATGCATTTTGCAAAACTCCCTGCAAACTATCCTCAATTCTCCTTTGCTGTAAGAACTCTCTCTTTAGCCAGAATTCTCCCTGCTGCAATCCTCATCCATCAGAAACTATTCCTACTAGAAGCAAAATTTCCTTCATGTAGGCCCTTTTTGTAGCTCCTCTGCAGCAAAAATTATCCCTATTGTTGCAATAGAAATTCTCCCTATAGAATTCTCCTTGCAATATAGAATTCTCCTTGCAATAGAAAGCATCCTTGTTGTAGGCCCTCCTTCGAAATTCTCCCTACAATTAGTCTTCCTGCTGCAGGATCTTTCTAACTTCTTCCTTGCAGCTATTCATTATTTTACCTTACGAGCCATACCAACACCCTGCAACATTTTCTGCAAGTTTCTACTTCCCTGTTGGCTTCTCTATTGCATTACATGTAGCATTTCCATTCCTACAACAACCTTACACATACTCGTAGAAATTGTAGTGAAAGACGACCGCAGTTAATTTGAAGTAGCCCTAAATATTCTTGGAGTTGATAACCAAGTATGGAATGAAGATTTCAAGTTCTACTGTAAAGCTTAACCTTGAATTAGAGACCAAGGATTCTGTTCAGACGACTCATGAATTCTCCAACTTTCTCACAAATCATAAATTCAATAACCATAATTACCTCCAATGGTCCCAATCCGTGTTCATGTACTTTTGTGGTAAAGGGAAAGATGAACATCTCACAGGAGAATGCGCAATTCCTTAGGCCACTAATCCTAACCCCAACACATGGAAGAATCGAGATCATATGTATGACTTGAATCAAATACATCGTAACTCTACCCTTAGTGCTACTTTTTCTCAATAAATCATAAGTAGGTGATTGTATTGCCAGGCATTATAGTATATTTCACAATTAATCAACTATATATTTTTGCAAAGCCAGCGTTTTTAACTTTCCACTAATGTGGATGGAACTCTTAATTAGGCTATATAGTCAAAAGGAATAGCTCTTGGTTCTTAATTGTCAAAAGGAGTAGCTCTTGATTTCCACTTATGTGCCTCAGTAGTCAAAAGGATAGAGAATTATGCAACTTTATCAATGACTCAATTGAGATATTATCTGAAAAGAGTATAAGGTGGAAACATTTTATGGAAATTTATCTCTTAAAAAAATGACATGCTTCTCAATCTTTATTTCATGCAGGCTAAGCTCCAGGAGTTTCTTAGAAGGAAAGATCTGGACAAGCACCTTGATGCCGATGAAGCAATAGCTCTTGGTTCTTCATTGCTTGCTGCTAATTTGAGTGATGGAATAAAGTTAAATCGCAAGCTGGGAATGATTGATGGTTCATCTTATGGATTCATGGTTGAATTAACTGGTGTTGATCTTGTGAAAGATGAGAGCACACACTTTTTACTTGTGCCAAGGATGAAGAAAATGCCAATCAAGGTGAGGCTACTCTCATTAGACCATTTATACATATTTTAGTTGGAAAATAACATTTCTTCATCATGGACTTCTTGAAATGCAGCTGTTCAGGTCTATCAAACATAGTAAAGATTTTGATGTCTCACTCAGTTATGATGGTGCTTATGAATTACCACCTGGTGTATCTTCTGCCAAATTTGTGGAATTTTCAGTTTCTGGACTTGCAGAGGCCGCAGAAAGGTGCGCTACAATTTTAGTGTAATTTTATGTTGTTTTCTTTGATGTGTTATCTCAATGGTCATGTTATCAATGTTTGATTTTAAAGAAGCGCTATACCTTGTTTTCTTTCAGGTACTCAACTCGTAACCTTTCCTCTCCCATCAAAGCCACTATGCATTTTTCTCTTAGCAGGAGCGGGTTGATTTCTTTTGATCGAGCAGAAGCGGTTATTGAGCTATCTGAATGGGTAGAAGTTCCTAAGAATATTAAAACTTCAGAAACTAATGCCACAAATTCTCTGAATGCTATTGAAAATCTGAATTTATCTGCCGAAGGAAGCCCTATGGACTTCAAAGACAGCAAAAAGGAAAGTATGGATATTGATAATGAACCTAACTCTGGGATCAATGCGGAAGTGAAAGACAATGTGGCTGTTGAAACTGAGAAGGTCTTGAAGAGAAGAACATTTAAGGTTCCGCTGAAGGTGCAATAAATAACCTTTTAAATACCTTGGCATTAATTTAGTCTCATCAGCTTCTGATATAAAAAATTGACTATTATGATTACATGTTCAAAAGGAACTTTAGTCTTCTTTCACTAATTTATTGTATTCATTTCCTGTAGATAGTGGAGAAGCAGATTGCCCCTGGTATTCTTTCTAAGGAGATGTTTTTAGAAGTCAAAACTAGGTTGGATGACCTTGATAAAAAGGATTTGGAAAGACGAAGAACAGCAGAACTCAAGAATAGTCTTGAGGAATATATTTATTCTATAAGAGAGAAGGTTAACCATCACTGGACCCTAAAAGTGTGATTTTTTATTTAAATATTTCTTTCGATTGAGAACTGTCTTTCTTATATATTGAGCTTTTTTTTGGCATGAACCCTTAGTTTCAAGCAATTTTTTCAATTTTTATATTCATCTTTAATCTGTTATTTTAATATCATTTCTCCATATGTGAAATGTTTTCTTAGCTGTATATGGTAAGAAAACTAATGTATTGCTTTGTTTGGTAGCAGTATGAGCTCTGATTTTTTTCTCCTCAAAAATGCATTCATTAAATTCAAATAATTCTATATATTAAACTGTTTTGCAGCTTGATGACAATGAGGAGATTAAAAAAATTTCTAGCGAGGATGAGTTAGGCTTATTTGAAGAGAAACTCAGTGAGGTGCTTTTCAACACTACCTAAGAATCAAATAAATCTTCAAAGCCATCTATTTCCTAACCTTGTCACTTTGTATTTCTAGGCTCAAGATTGGTTGTACACGGATGGGGAGGATGCTTCAGCTAATGAATTTAAAAAGCGGTTAGACTCTCTGAAAGCTATTGGGGATCCAATATTTTTCAGGTAGGTAGCATTTTCTTTGAAGCGTTGTCTAGTTTTAGTATTACTTAAAAATTATATGTTGCATCGACTCATCTTCATAGATTGAGCGAGTTAACCGCCCGTCCGACTGCTTATGAAAGTGCTCACAATTATCTTGTTGATATACAAAAGGTATGTCATTTTATCCTTAAATTAACGCTATTATTGATTGTTTTGATTTAAGTTTTGCTTGATTTTACTGCCACCTAGATATATAGATTGTTGGGCATGTATACACACACACACTCAGACACACATGCCTGCCCTCCCGTTCACCCACCTGCTTATAGTATTATGATCTAGCTTAGGGGCTTGGAATTATCATGGCTAGAATAGATGGTGAGATGGTGATTTAATTTCAATTACTATCACTAAATATTATAATTATTTGTTCAATGCACCGAACGAACCACTAAGTAATATAATTTAGATTAAAACTAAAAGTATTGTAAGTATAATTACTTTCCTTTAATTTGGTTTCACATTCTATAAACAACTTTTCTTTTAATTTTCTTTTTTTAACCCAAAACTTAAGCTTGAAATTTGTAAGTTTACTCTGGTGATTATTTATCCCTAAAATTAAAATAATATTACGTTATGCATTCTTGTGAAGTGTAATAAATTCGTATAAAATTGTTTAATAGTTTTTATATTTAAAGTCGATTATTCAAAAAAGTCAAAATTTTTTGTTATACTATGTGATATGATATATATATAAATAAATAAATTGGTGGCGGGGCCACTATAAGTCCCCTCAGGTCAGGGGTTCAATTTCGCATATCGTGGGATTCTCGAATAGTGGCACATGGCGCGGGTTTTTCATCATAGGGTCTAGCGCGTGGGAAATCGGTATTTGGGCCTCTGCCAAATATCCATTTCCTTTAACACACACGCGCACACACACACACACACATATATGTATATTTATACACACACACACATAGATATATATATATATATATATATATATATATGTGCGCGCGCGCGTTTTTTTTAATATATATATATATATATAATTGGGGTGTTAGGTGTATATTTGATCCAGGAACTTTGAGCAAATTATGCATTGATATCTATAATGATCTGAAAACTAGATTTTGGTAAGCATATTATCCACATTATGAATCTTATATATATATTGGGGAAATTTGTAGATACTTTTACTGCTCCACAAAGAAATGTTACAAAAAGGTGGCAAGTGGAACCTTCTACCAAAATAAACAATACAACTCACTCCTAAGGTTCCACTCCCAGACTACAAACTCCACACAAAAAAATTGCTCCGAAAATTCAAGTATACCAAATCAGGCTCCAAAAGTTACAGAAAAGTAATAAAACTATAAAGCCGTGATTTTTAGCTTTGCTTACACCAATTTAAATGAAATGCTCTAACCAGATGTATGACCTTTACAAGCATATTATATATGTCCTATATAGCAAATTACCCAACATAAATCTTCTTACTTCCAATGGGGGAGAAATACACAACGTTATATCTTCCTTACCAACCATGCCTTACCAACCAATTTGCAGGTGAGTTCCCTCCCTATGGGTGAAACTCAAATTCACCTTTTTGCCTCTAATCTTTTGCAAAATCCTTCTGAGCAGAATAATTAGGTTCAATGGAGGAGTTTTCTGTAATTTAGAAAACAAAATTAGTTCATCACACTCAGATTCCATGTGTAGACATTGTCAATTGAGTGAGGAAGCAATATTAACATCCATCCAAGCAACCCACAATTCAGCTTTCAGACGAGAGTTAGCAGTAACAGGTGTAACAAAATAACATTTCCCCTCGTTATTTCGAAATACCCCTCTAGCACCAGCAGCCTTTGTTACCCAGCTCCCATCAGTATTGACTTTCAGCCAAGCGGCAACAGTTTTCCTCCACCTCACCATTTGCACTTTCCTTGGTTTCAGAGTGGACTTGTTACTCATAACTTGTTCATTACAGAAGCTCAAACCAGAAAAGTAAGACAATTTGTATTCCCCATATTTAAAAAAATTAAAAATGTAAGCTAAGGCATTGACAACCACCCACATCACCCAAAGCTCCTCTCCCTGATGCTTAGCTGAGTTTCTTGCCATCCAAAGGAACCAACACATAATATAAGATAGTAAATTCATCAGCTGTATAGATTGTTTCTTCCAGTAATTAAGACAACTAGTCATATTACCACCACCCGGGTGAGTATCTGGGATCCCCAACCACCTACCTAATCGAGCCTAGACAATAAGGGAAAATGGACATCTAAAAAACAGATGATCTCCACTGTCCTCCTCCACCTTGGAAAGAATGCATGAGAAGGGAATTTCAACCCCTTTAGTTTAGAATATCATCCAATGGCAAAAGCTGAGGGTATAGCCTCCATAAAAAAAAATGACATAGAGAGAGATATAGAATTGCCCCGTATAACCTTTCCCCAAGTGTTCCTCCTCCACTCATGTAGATGTGAATAAATAGCTTTAGATGTAGAGTAGTAGGAAGAAAGTGTAGTCATCAAACAATCATTTTTGGACACATTTATTGGGATTTTTCAAATGGTCAAAGCACACCCCTCCCCAATTGTATCCCTAAGTAATGGAAGATTCCGATCATTTTGAACCCACATATCAACCACTTTATTGCCCCTCAACTCCTCTTTAAAGCTAGAGTATAGGTCTTCCAAACACCATTTATCATGCCAAAGGGAGATTTTTCCACTTCCCAAATCCCAATAGATGAACTCAGCTTTATCTATAGCCTTAAGTAAAGCTTTCCAAATTTTTGAATCCCCACACAATATGAATTATGAGTAGGATGTTTCTTTCTACACTATTTTTGATGCATAAATTCAGCCCACAGAGAGTTTCTAGCGCGAAACTTAAGCCAAAGCTTTATTGCATTGACCTCAGCAATATGCTGAAACTCCTTAAATCCCAAAATACCAGTTGTAATTGGCTTGCATACTTTCTTGCAACTCGCCCAATGTTTATTATGTTTGTCTCCAACCCACAGAAATCTATTAAAGCACGGCTGTTGTTGTGTACTCGACTTCATTTTCATAACTTATAAAGAAAATAAAACTATAGATTTTAAGTCGCTGTGAAGAAGAGTGATTCTTCCCCCAAAGAATTAGAAAGAATTTTTCCAATCTATAATAGGTGATTTGATAGCCTTCACCTCACCATCAAATTGAGTTTGCTTGAATCTCCCATTGAGCAAGTTCACCCGTAGATATTTGAAAAGGAGTTCCATAAGAGCAATACTAGTGTACTCTCTAATCCAACTCCCCAAGGCATTGTTTACATTCTTACTCATTATAAGCTGACATTTAGCCTTGTTAAAGGCCATACCTAAAGTATTTTGAAAGATTTGCAACAATTTAATAATTCCTTTCACGGAGGCCTTCCCTGCGTTTGTGAAAAATATAACATCATCTGCATATGTCAGATGACTTAAAACCATCCTTGCCTTATGATGATATTGGAAAGTGGGGTGATAAAACTGAACGTTATTAAACATACGAGAGAAATAGTCAAAAGCAAATTATGAAAATAGTAGGTGATAGGGGTCACCTTGTTTATTTCCTCTAGAAGATGGGAAATAACCATATGTAGTGTCGTTGATCAGCAAACAATAATGATTGTAACTCAACCATCTTTATATAAGGGAGCAAAGCTGTGTATTGAAATCTCTTCCCCTCAGCTTTGCTATGATGAAATCCCAATTGATAGTATCATAAGCATTTTTAAGGTCAAGTTTCAAAATTAGATTGCCACTCCTGCACTTCCTATCCAATTCATGTATGAGTTTCTGTATGAGTTCTTGGGCCAGAAGTATGTTTTTTGTAATATCTCTTCCCTTGGTCGTTGGAGCTGGGCCACCAATAATTACTAATGTTTTTTGAAATAATAGAGATATGGCATATGGGTCTGAAGTGATCCCAATTTGTTCTAATGTTGTTTTCGGGAAGTAGAATTATATTGGATGTTGAAAAATAGCTACACCGGTTTTCACCCCTAATGAAGCATTGAATTGCCTCGATAACTTCCATTTTCACAATGTCCCAACACTTTTTATAGAAATCAGCCTTAAACTCATCTGAACTAGCAGCCTTATTCACACTTATGGAGGTTAAAGCCTTCTAAATTTCCTCCGCAGTTGGCACATCGGCCTAATCTGTATTACTCAGTCGATCTCCTAGCAGCCCAATGGTAATAGGAGAGGTAATCTTTTTCCCCATAGAAATGTTTATTAACTATGTAAGCATATCTTCTGAGCAGTTACCTCTTGCATTCATTTCTTGATATACACCAAAGGTTCCAAAATTGCAAAACACCATACTTTGTTGATCTTGATTAGATGTAGTAGCTTATTATTAGAACTCAGATTAGCTATTCCTGTAATATTCCAGAAAACATATTAATTTAGAAGGAAGTTCCCTTTTGTCTCCATCAGAGTAGTATTGAATCTCATGCTTAATTTTGTTGCTAGCTCCTAAATTCATTAACTTCTGCTTACCCCTTTTCTTCCTTCTACTCTTCTGGAATTGCCACTCCTCGATCTTTTATCTTACACTAGCAAAATCATCTTTTGCAGGTTTAACAATCAATACCTCCTTCTCCACCCTTAGGTACAAAGTCTCTTCTGGCAGCACATTATTAATTTGAGATTCTTTGATATTCTCCTCCCTAGGAGGCTCCAGAGCATTTCCATCTATCACCCTCACATTGTCTTCAAAAGCTCCATTATCCACCCCTCTCTTCATCCTCTCCACTGGATCTTTTAGCCAATTCCGCATTATGCACGTGATCTCCTCCTACTCAAACATGTTAGGAGGGGTTTTTTTAAACTCTAGATGTAGCACGTAGCAATTATCAACAAGATGTTCAAACATACAACAATTTGAACAATAATGAGGATGTTGTTCAACAATAACTTTTTTCCAAGAGTTATTGTGTGCAGTGCCTATCCACACGCCATTCCCAATATTTTGTGTGATATTTCTTTCAATGAGCACTCGCGCAAGAGATGGTCTAGTTAAATGAAATGTAGGAATGTCCTTTTTCATCGGCCTCCCAAATATAACACTCAAAGAAAACAAAATTTCATCATTAAATAGATGTAATTTAAAACCAGGGAATCGAAA